TCCCCTCTTCTCCACCTATGCAAAAACTAATGCACATAAAAGGCCCTAAAATCGGGAAATTTTATTACCGTAAATTAAAAGAAAACACTACCTGTTTATAAATTCAAGTCTCTTCTCAAAGATCACTTACTCACTCAAAACCAAATGAATACTGAATAACTGAACCTTATAAATTGTATATTTTAAAAATGTTTTCTCACAATTATATCACATAAATGTTAAACCTAAAACCCAATCTAACAGAATACTCCATTCTAGTGAATGTACAGCAATGCATGCAACCATAGGGACCTGTCTTTGTAATACTAATTTTGTTGCTTTATAGTTATCTGTTTACAATAATTTTATATCACTGATTTCATCCATTGCTTAGGTTAATCTTAAGATAATTTTAAGCCAGCCCTTTAATGTATGCATATAAGTGGCTTTTTTGGCAGGGCTGCTCTTACCTGTATTTTTTGGTCCCTTTGTATGTATGCTAAAATTACAAAAATAAATAAAAAAAAAAATAAAAAAAAGTTAAAATAAATAAAAAAAGGTTATAAGGCCCTCGAACAGTATAATAAAGGTTATAAGGCCCTCGAACAGTATAATAAAGGTTAAAAGGCCCTCGAACAGTATAATAAAATTTATAAGGCCCTCGAACAGTATAATAAAGGTTTAAAGGCCCTCGACAGTATAATAAAGGTTATAAGGCCCTCGAACAGTAAAAATAAAGGTTAAAGGCCCTCGAAACAGTATAATAAAGGTTATAAGGCCCCCTCGCAACAGTATAAATAAAGGTTATAAGGCCCTCGAACATATAATAAAGGTTATAAGGCCCTCGAGCCGTATAAACCTTTTACGGCTCGTGCACCGCGTCGCAGCTTTTTAGTCCAACAATAACAGTAGCAGCCTGTGGAGGTTTATTTAGGAACCTGGAGATTTATTTAGCATCCTGGAGATTTATTTAGCATCCTGGAGATTTATTAGCATCCTGGAGTTTTTATTTAGCATCCTGGAGATTTTTTTAACATCCTGGAGGTTTATTTAACTTTCCTGGAGGTTTAACACCCTGGGGGTGGCTAAAGCTCCCTTTTCACACACGGAGGGCCCGGGTTCGATTCCGGCGGGGAGAAACATTTCGACACTTTTCCCCCTACACCTGTTGTCCTGTTTCACCTAGCAGCAAATAGGTACCTGGGTGTTAGTCGACTGGTGTGGGTCGCATCCTGGGGGACAAGATTAAGGACCCCAATGGAAATAATTAGACAGTCTCGATGACGACTGACTTTCTTGGGTTATCCTGGGTGGCTAACCCTCCGGGGTTAAAAATTCCGAACGAAATCTTAGCTTATCTCTTATTTGCCATCCTGGGGGTTTATTTTATCATCCTGGAGTTTATTTAACATCCTGGAGGTTTATTTAACATCCTGGAGGTTTATTTATCATCCTGGAGGTTTATTTACATCCTGGAGGTTTTTTTAAACACCCTGGAGTTTATTTATCAATCCTGGGGGTTTTAATTTTAACACCGGAGTTTATTAGCATTCTCAAGGTTATTTAAGATCCTGGTAGGTTTATTTAGCATTCTGGAGGTTTATTTAGCTTCTTGAGGTTTATTTAGCTTGGAGGTTTATTTAGCATTCTCGAGGTTTATTTAACATCCTGGAGGTTTATTTAGCATTCTGGAGTCTTATTTAGGATCCTGAAGGTTTATTTAAGTAACCGGCACGATAGGAAATTTCTGTGTAAACTATGTATACTGTAGGAGAGAAAAACCTGTGTAAACCAGGTATCCTGTAGAAGAGGAAATCCTCAGAGTAAACCACATAACCAGCAAAGCCTCTAGCTTCACTGTGTCCAGACACTGGAATTTAGTATACGGGCTACTAGTAAACCCAACATACCCGGGTCAACCCGGGCATCAAGGTTCATAAGCACTTGCCTATTTGGGGTCGAGTCACAGCTCCTGGCCTAGGGTCTCCGTTATCTCACTAACTGCACTGTGAACAGTTCTCCGCTCCAACCACAATTATCTATATGACCCTTGTGGGTTTAGCACTTAGTTTTGATTATAATAATAACCAGGGTAATATTTTTGCCCAAGCAAAAGGGCAACTTAGATTCGAGGGACAATGTTACTTCCGTTTCGTTCAGTTATTCACAAACTACACATTGGGCCCTTTGGAACTTTCAAAGTAAATGTATTTCCTTGCATATTTGTATTAGAATTTAACCCTTAAACGGTCCAAACAGATCGACGTTCAAGTTCGTAATGCTACAAAAGTAGATCTACCTTTTTTATATATATTTTCAAATATAACAAAAAAAATGTTGATGAAAGTTTTTTTTACACGTTTTCAAATGTAAAACAAAAAAAAAAAGATCTTCATTTTTTTACATACTTTCAGATGTTGAAAAAACGTTTGGGCCGTTTAAGGGTTAAATGTTTGCCTATACTGTAAGCCTATATGTAGTGTGATTTTTTTTTTTTTTTTTTTTTTGTAAATGCAGTTGAAAAAATATATTAAAAATAGTATTATGAGGGCCTTTTTCCTGGACGTTCAACTTTTGGAAGATTTTCATTCATATTTTGTATATTCAATTTCTTTATAAATTTTTTCAATTGTATTTTGGGTATTCAGTTTTTATATACTTTTTCAATTGTCTTTGCAAAAACAAATTACGTTATGAAAAGAAACTCCATAAGTTATTCTGTTTTAAGTTTAAAGTTTCAGTGAGTAATGAGGTTTGAGCCAAGAAAGGGGAGCATAGCTCCAAAATCCTTGGATCTAGAGCCCTTCATCTGGCATGAAGAATCTCAATGCTTCAGTCTTCAATTTTGAGGAAATATATTTAGAGTTATATATATTTTTTTATAATTTTTCAGTTATTTGACTTTTTGAGTTGAGATAATATATTTGTTCTAGCTTAGTATTGAAAAATTATTACAGTACATATTAGTAATTTGAAGTTTTGTGCATTATATACATACACTGTACAGTGGACCCCCGCTTAACGATCACCTCACAATGCGACCAATTATGTAAGTGTATTTATATAAGTGCATTTGTACATGTATGTTTGGGGGTCTGAAATGGACTAATCTACTTCACAATATTCCTTATGGGAACAAATTCGGTCAGTACTGGCACCTGAACATACTTCTGGAATGAAAAAATATCGTTAACCGGGGGTCCACTGTATTATATTTTGTTTTTGCAGACTAATATAATAGAAGCCTCAGTATAGCTGACTAAAAAAGTGACATGATGTCCATTTATGGGAAACCAATCAAAACTTACACTGCCTGTAATTACAAAAAAATAAAAAAAATTTGGTTATTTTTCCAGTCAAATACTATAAAAAGGAACAATACCCAAATACCCGCACATATGGGGAAGGAAACTCATGACGACTGGCCCCCATAGCTCGTCGCTAGCGCCTCAGCTTTAACACTGAGTCCGGGGTTTTAAAATCCCGTATGGCTGGGAAAAAAATTTTTGGGGGTGATTTTTTTATAAAACACCTGCTTTCCCTTTTTTTACCCATCATAAAAAATGGTAGCACATTCATTTTCCTCTTTTAATTCATGTCCCTTGATCACCATCCCTGAAAAAAAGGCTCCTAGTACAGTACTCTTACAGTATCTTGTACAATACTCTTACAAAATCTCTTTCAATATCTCTTACAATATCTCTTACATATTCTCTTGCAGTATCTCATCAAACTCTTACAGTATCTCTTTTCAGTATCTCTTGCATATCTCTTGGGAGTATCTCTTACAATATCTCTTACATACCTTACAGTAAACCTCTTGCAGTATCTTATACAATATCCTTACAGATTTTTACAGTATCTCTTGCAGTATCTCTTTAGTATTTCTTACAAAACTCTTACAGTATCTCTTTTCAGTACTCTTGCAGATCTCTTGCAGTATCTCTTACAGTATCTACTCTTTACAGTTTTCTTTGGGACTCTTAAGTATCTTTACAGTATCTCTTACAGGTATCTCTTACGTAAAACCTTCAGTTTCTCTTTCAGTATCTCTTGCAGTACTCTTTTCAGTATCTCTTTACAGTATCTCTTACAGTATCTCTTACAGTGTCTCTTACAGTATCTCTTGCAGTATCTCTTACAGTATCTCTTACAGTATCTCTTCAACTCCATTTTATTTAATCAGTATACAACTTTGTCCTCTTGTGATGTCAATTTTCAAATTAATATATACTTTTATTGCAGATTCTTCCATACTGCACCTCTTTAACCAGCAAACAAGCACCTGAGGAGAATGCAAAATTTTATGATTATTCAGCAAATGGAATGCCATTTTCTCAGAAAGAAAAAGACAGCATATTAAAAATTATCAATGATGCCTCAGCTGAGGATCTCATGAGGTTGAAAATCACAGAAGACACCATTGTCAAGTTAATGAAGAGGAAATCTGAAGTTGGCATATTTCATGACATATCTCAGCTATGTGACATTTCTGGTATAGCAACAAAATCGGTTGAAAATCTTTGCACATTAGTGTTAGAAAATAATGAGATAAATATTTGTACTAACGAGCTGCCCAACGGTGATTTTGATGGTGATTTACACCGTGATGACAGCCAAGACTTCAACATTATATACAAGAAACGTCTAGTAAAGCCAAAGATAAGTCCCCATATGAGGAAGGTAACTCTTTCATTGTTTTTTATAATTCCATCCATCCATTGGATTTAATGAATTTTAGAATGCAAATAATTTGTCTTGTCATTGGCTATCAGTAATATTGCATTCTAGATTTAGAAATGTATCAGGTGAAATGCCATGTATAAACACTGTACAGTGGAACCTCAAATTTCGAACTTAATCCGTTCCAGGAGCTAGTTCTAAATTCGAAAAGTCTGAAAATCAAAGCAATATTTCCCATAAGAAACAATGGAAATACAATTAATCCGTTCCAGAAACCCAAAAATATTCACAAAAAATTACATTTTATAGAGATTAATTATAGTTTTACATACATACAACAAATACTATAGTGTTCAATTATGTATATAAATATAAAATAAAATTTCTACTTACCTTTATTGAAGATTGGTGAGTCATCTGGAAGGTAGGGAGAAGGGGAGAGGGAGTTGGGGTTAGTGTTTGGAAGGAGAATCCCCCTCTGTGAGGACTTCAGGTAAAGTCCTCTCTGGGGTTACTTCCCTTCTCTATCTTTTAATGCCACTAGGACCAGCTTGAGAGTCACTGGACCCCTGTCTCACAAAATAATTGTCCACATTCCTCTGTTTCTGGTACCTCTTTTAAGATTTCCCTAAAATGGGACATGGTTCTGTCACTGAACTTGTTGCAAAGATGGCTTGTTTCAGCTTGCTCAGGGTGGTACTTCTCCACAAACATTTGGGCATCATTCCACTTGGACATCATTCCACTTCTGTATTATTTCCTTCTTCACATCTATGGTGTTTCTCACTTTCTTTGGGCCCATGGTAGCTTATTTCAGTCCCACAAGCACTAAACACAATGAAATAATCGTAAAATGTTTGAATGAGAGCGCATGTTAGTGTTCACTCAAGCATAAACAAAGCCAGACTGGCTCATGGCGCCTGCGTGGGGACGCGGATAGAGCGGGCTGGCGAACAGGTCCGGTACCCAGTGGTCCGAAAATAGGGGTGTGTTCAGTAATAGGGACAAAGTTGGTTCGAAAAAAGGGTTCTAATTTTGAAACGTTCGATATGTGATATGTTCGAATTTTGAGGTTCCACTGTAAATGTGTATTTGCAATTGCATTTAACCCCTTCAGGGTCCAAGGCCAAAATCTGAAGTGGTGCTCCAGTGTTCAAGAAATTTTGAAAAAAAAAAATTATTTTTTCTTACAGAATTAAAGAGCATATTTTTGTGAAGGTAATAACACAAAAAAAAAAATTCTGATCAGTACTTACCGAGATACAGTGCCAAGAAGTTTGTCAAAAATGATGTGGTGGCGGCAACATCGACGAATTCCACATACGCTCATTACATTATTTTGCGGTTTTTACATTTTTTTCTTTTCTTTTCCAATTTTTTTCTATTCCTACTAACATTTGGGGCCTGAGAGACCAATACTGTATATAATTGATATATATATACTCACTGTATTGAACACAATAACCGCACTAAAGTTATTATCATATTATTGTTTACCACTGTTGTTTATTACAATAAACATGCACAAATATTGTATAATACTAATGTTCTATCATATATTTACATATTTACAATCACTGGACATGGTTTTAGAACTGCTGGAGCTTGTGGAACTCCTTGAAACAAGGCACCATGTACAGAGGCACCTTACATTCCTCACACATAAACCGAGTGTCTTTGCGTCTTTGTTGCTGTCGTTTTGTTTGTGCACAGACGATGCATCTCTTCTGAGCAAATTTCTTCTGAGTTGAAGGAAGTTGTATTATGAAATGATCACCTTCCCTCCTCAAACGCTTGGGTATATCCTGAGGAATTCGAGGACCTTGTTGTATAGCAGGTGTTCTTACCTGGTACTTCATTATGAGTTGTCTGACAACAGACAAACAAAATTCACCATACGGTGGTCTGTTGCCAGTCTTTATTTGGTACATATTATATGCATTGAGCATTGAAATGTCCATGAGATGGAAGAAAAGTTTCATGTACCACTTGTAACTCTTACGAACACAGTCAACAAAACCAATCTGCATGTCACATTTGTCAACCAAGCGCATGTTTTGTGTATAATCAATCACTGTCACTGGTTTTCGAATACGTTCATTAGTCACTCGATCAACTTTGCCACTGTCTTGCATTTCATTACGGTGAATGGTTGTCAACAATGTGACATTTCGTTTGTCATGCCACCGTAATGCCATGATGTCATTGGTAGTAAACACCTGCACGTCATCACCACGAGCACCTGCATTGAGCCTGGGCAAATGTTTTCGATTAGAATGCACTGTGCCACACACATCTGTCTTGTTCACTCGCATGAAATCACTGAGTAATGGGCTTGTGTACCAGTTATTGGTATATAATGTATGCCCCTTACCAAGATAAGGTGCCATCATGTTTCTCACTACGTCACCTGAGATACCCAATAACATCTTGGTATCTTTCAATGTTTTACTACCCGTGTATACAACAATATCCAACACCAGGCCACTGTCACAGTCACAGAGTACAAACAGTTTTATACCAAAGCGTTTCCTCTTGCTCGGTATATACTGCTTGAATGACAGTCTACCTTTGAACAAAATCAAAGACTCATCAATTACAAGATTCTTGAATGGATAAAAGTATATGCTGAACTTTTGTTTGAGATACATGAAAACATTTCTAATCTTGTATAACCTGTCACTTCTGTCAGGCCTGGTTTTGTCAGAGAAGTGCAACATACGTAAGAGTAAGATAAACCTGTTCACTGGTATGATTTCACTGAAGACCGGGGTAGAAATTAGCCGATCTGTGGACCAGTATGCTTTTATATTATGCCTGTACACATGAGGCATAAGCATTATTGTTGCAAAAAGCAAATACATTTCTGCAACAGTCGTCTCTTTCCACTTGTGTAGTCTTGACTGTGGTGATAAGATCGTATTTGCCAGGGTGTACTCAAAATACTTATTACTTTCCCTGACAATAGTTTCCATCAGTGGCTGGTCAAAGAATAATTCAAAGAATTCCAGTTCATTGGCTGTGGTTCCAAGGGGACAAGTAGGTAGAATTCCACTTTGAGAGTCATCAAAATTGGGATTTTGCTGCCAATCCCACATATGGTTTGCTGGTGGATACTGGACATCATAGGCTGGTTGTGCGGGTGGTTGTGGTGGGCTGGTGGCTGACGCTCCGCTTTGTCCTTGAACTGACGAATCAGCAGCGTGGGTCCCAGTGTGGTCTGGTGAGTCACGCATGGCGGTGCCACTACCATTACCACTAACACCATCCACTGATGCCTGTGGTCTATCCATGCCAAGTGTAGCCACATCATCCTCACTATCACTACCTAAAACTGGTGTAGGGCCACGGGATGTACTCCGTCCCCTGGGCACAGCATAGGGTACATTACCCGAGCGCATGTGGTGGCGAACATACCGACGCTTCACTGGTGAATATGATTCCTCACTATCACTACTCGAATGATCGTCGAGCGCAATAAAATCACAATCCACGTCACTATCATCATCATTACTGAAGTCAGAGGCCTGGCCACGCGAAAATATTAGTTTTCTCTTGTGTTGAGGAACAACCGACCGTGAGTCACGAGTGCCCACACCAGAGGTAGAAGGTTGAGGATCGTCAGGGTTTTCTGCACTATTATCGATATCCTGGTCATTCTTTTCGGTCACTAACTGATCATAGCCGTAGAATTCGTCTTCATTTCCACTTCCATCACTGTCAGAACTATCAGATAGGAAGAGGAGAGTCCCAATTTTCCGGGGAGTGAGAGCTGACTTGCAACGAGGCATGGTGAACAAGGGTAACTGAACCGGCGTTCCCACAATGCTATGCGGGCACCTAGATTTTTTGTTTATGGCGCACACCCACCACGCAGACCCGTTCTCTCACATGTAGGCCTATGAGCGTTTTCGCGCTAAATTTGACGGCGCTAGAATTTTGGCGTAGATCTATGGTTTGGACACTCAACGTGAAGCCGTAGATCTACGGGACGGACCCTGAAAGGGTTAAATGTGTATTTGCAATTGCATTTAAATGTGCATTTGCAATTGCATTTTAATTTCAATGTTCAGTTGTAATTTACTGCTCTCTCAACAACTCTACCTCTTCCACTTCTATCATTTCTTTCATCTCTGTCTTGTAGCACTGAATGATCTGCCTGGGTGGTGATATTTGCAGTTTTGAACTGTAGTATCATCATGTCTCTATCAAGACAGTAATGGAGTGAATGATGGTGAGAGGGTTTCTTTTTTTTTTTTTTTTGGGTCATCCTGCCTCAGTGGGAGATGGCCAGTGTGTTACAAATAAAGGTGAGATAGGTGCAGGGCAAGATTTTATTGTGGTAATATATCAATGTCAAACTCTATTAAGTCTTGCTATAACTCTACATGGAGTAAAATGTTGTCACAGTAACAACTTGCTCTGCACCTGCACTTTCTTCACTTCTGAAGAAGCCACTTGTGGCACATTTCCTTTAATAAGTGCTCTGAGCAGTACATCAGTTATAAGTGTTTTTCCACATCTTGTCTGTAAGAAACAAAAAGGCACAATGCAGTGACTGGAACAATACACAGATAACCCGCACATAAGAGAGAGGAGCTTACCATGACATTTCGCTCTGACTTGAACCATTTGGACTTCGTAAATGGTCCAAACCAGACTGAAACATCATCATAAGCTTCTCTCTCCTATGTGCACATTATTTGTCTTGTCTGTAAGCATTAAGATAAGTCTGCCTGAAATGCACATGCATGCTAGTGGATTTTTGTTAAGTAAAAAGACACGAGTGCAATTAATGCAACTAATGTAACATTTTATTGTGGCAACATTTTGCTCTCCAGGAACTTTATCAAGCCAGCTTTTTTTGTGATTATCAATTCTATTACATATAAACTATACTTTGTACACAAAGAAATAAAAATTTTGATTTGATTTGATATTGCCATATTATTTATGTCTGTTCCTGTTCACTTTAATTTTAACACACTGGTTGTCTTCCACCGAGGCAATGGGACCCAAAAAATAAACACTTTCACCATCGTTCACACTGCAACTGTCTTGCCAGAGGTGCACAGATATGACAGTTTAGATGTCCCTCCAAACAGCAAATATTTCTAACTCTTCCTTTAGAGTGCAGGCACTGTACTTCCCACATATTGTTGTAAATTTCTTAGTCTGTCTCATTCTTCATACCCTCTCAGGGAGGTGCATTGACTCCGCTGAGGGGCTCTTGATCCAAGGAATTGGATATATCCTCCCTTTCCTTGGATTGAACGTGATTGCCTCTCATTCCCAAAGCACTGTAAGACCTCTACAAGTTTAACATTTCTCCTTGAATTTAATATTTATAATAATTATAATTATTTGGGACTTGACGAACTGTTGGAGTGTGAGCAGGGTAATCAGGGAAATCGGTTAGCCGAACTTGAGTCCTTGAGGTGGGAAGTACAGTGCCTGCACTCTGAAGGAAGAGTTAGAGATATTTGCTGTTTGGAGGGACATTTAAACTGTCATATCTGCATGTTGCTGGCAAGACAGTGATAGTGTAAATGATGGTGAAAGTGTTCCTTTTTGGGTCACCCTGCCTCGGCAGGAGACGACCAGCATGTTAAAATAATAATAATAATAATAATTATTCCCTACAGTGTCAATATATAAGAATTGCTCCTTTATGTCTTAAAATGTGCATTACTCTACAGAGTGTTGAGACGGTGGTGTCCCTGCATATAACAGCTGGGTTCTTAGCTTGGACCAAATTTGATCATAGGGGTAAAGTATTGGATCTCTGCAGCGAGGAACTACTCAACTCAAGTTCACATTTTGATGCCCCAAAGATTTATGAAAGAGTAATGATTTTAAGTTTTATGTGTAGAATTTAAGTCTATAGTCTTTGAACTAGACCTCACAAGTTTGACTATCAATGCCATCTGGAGAGATGAATGCTCACATAGATTTTCTTTGTCTCAAGTTTCAGAAAATGTATGAGAGGATTGTGAAGCTCTTTGACTTTTCTGTTTTATAACCCTGTGTTTTGAGGCACTCATAGTTTCTTCCAGTTTCTTATTTCTGTGATATCATCCTTATGTTTAAGTGTTCATAAAATGTTTATTATTTAAGATAATTATTACAATTTTAAGGAATATTTCATCGTGAAGTCTTATGAACCTTTTTAAAAAATCTACAAAAATTAAAAAAAAAAAAAAAAGTTCAATATTGCAAGATAAATTTATTAAAGTTTTCAGGAATGTTTTGTCATGAAGTATTTTGTAACTTTCTAAAAATATTAGAGAGTGAGAGAAAATGAATAAATAATTTTCTTGATTATGACAGGTGGACAGTCTGCTCATATCTGTGCTCCGTAGACCATTTATTATCCATTTACAATTGGCAAAGTAGGGTTTTTTTTTTACAAAATCCTTACCAGTAGATCCAGTGGGGGGTGAGGTGGGGGGTTGGCTTGCACTCTATCTACTTTCAACTGCTGATTTCCATCTCAAGTTTCTGTATACTTTGAAGAATCCCACTCACAAACTAGAGATTAAAAACATTATTTTTTTTTTTTTTTTTTTTTTCAAAAATGGGGTCGTCTCCCACCGGGGCGGGGGTGCCCCTAAAAAAAAGAAAATCCCCAAAAAGAAAATTTTTCATCATCATTAACACTTTCACCACACTCCACTTATCACTGTTTTTGCAGAGTGCTCAGTACAGCAGTTTAGAAGCATATACGTATAAAGATACACAACATATCCCTCCAAACTGCCAATATCCCAAACCCCCCTTTAAATGGGGGCATTGTACTTCCCTTTTTCCCAGGCCCAAAGCCCGACTATATGAAAATAACCGGGTTTCCCTAAACCCCTTCACTAAATATTACCCTGCTCACACCCCAAACAGATGTCGGGCCCAAGTTCATTCGTCCCATTCACTCCTATTTTAACACGCTCAGCATCTTAAAAACATAATTAATATTTATTTTAAATGCATTTAAGAAATCCCTTTTGTTGCACAGTGTTGGATCCTGTAATTGTTGAAACCATGGGTCGATTTTTCTCTCTCCATCCCATGGTTCTTCATAGAAAATTAAATAAAAAAATTAAAAAAACTTTATGGTAGTAGGTAGTATTTTGGTAGAAGCAACCACCCAGGGAAGTAAACCGTCCTGCCAATGCTGTGAAACAAAAAACCTTAACTGTTTTCATAGGGTAGGATTGCGGGTTTTTTTTTTTGTCTCAAAAACACGCTAAAAAAACAGGGAATCTTGTACTCCCTACTTACACTTTGGTCAACTTCTTTGACCGACATGCATTTTTAAACATACATCTATTTTTTTTTCCCCTCCTTTTTAAAAAAACTCTTGTTTTTTTTTTTTTCTTTTGTCCATGGGGAATGGAAAAGAATTTTTCCTCCGTAAGATGCGTGTCGTAGAGGGACAAAATGCCGGGCAATGGCTAGTAACCCCTTTCCTGTATACAATTACTAAAAAAGAGAAAAAGAAAAATTTATAAAACGGGGTTGCTAAATGTGGTGGATGTAGTACGGATGACAAAACAAAATTTTGCTGTGTTTGAATGAAAAGAAGTTGGTGCCCCGGCCCTAAGCAAAACAAGGAAAGGGGGGTGGGAAGTTTCAGTGGGGGGAAATAAATGGGATTAAATCTGGAGTATCTGAAGATTAAAGGCAAAGGAAGGGGTACAGAAAGTTAAATATCATTTTATGGAAGAGAAAAGAAAATAGAATGTGAAAATTCAAATTTATGGGGTTTAAAAAGAAAAGGTTGGATGCGAAAGTGGGTCATAAAACGTGATGCACCGGAAAGAGAGGAAAATGGAGGAAGAAGAGATTTTGGGAGATGTTAAGTGAATGTTAGGACCTTTAAACCAAGTGAGAGAGTAATTTTGGGGGACTTGAATGCAAAGTAGGAGAAACTTTTAGAGAGGGTGTGGTAGGTAATTTTGGGGTGCCAGGTGTAAATGATAAGGGGAGCCCTTGTTTAAACTTTGATAGAAAGGGGGTTTAGTTATGGGTAAAATTTTTTAAAAGAAAAAGAGGATAAAAAATTTTAAGGTTAAGTATGATTGGGGAAAGACGTAGTTTTTGGATTAATTTTTAATAAAAAAGGTGGAAGAAATTCGGGAAAAAAGGGGGGGGGGGGGGGGGGGCCTTTTTAGTTGTAGCTACACTGAGAGAAAAGGGTAGAATGGGATAAAAGGAGAATAAAAGCTCAGGGAAGAAAGGTAAGGTTTATAAACAAAAGAGGAGGAGTTTGGGTAAAATAAAACAGCTATTGGAGGATAGATGGGGTAATGAGAGCATAGGAAAGGGGTCGAAGAGGTATGGGGTAGGTTTTTAAAAAAGTTGTTGATGTCAGCAGAAGTTTGTGGTTTTCAGGAAAGTGGGTCAGGAGGGAAAAGGAGCGATTGGTGGAATAATGTAAAAAGAGTAGTAAGGGAAAAAAGTTAGCAAAAGAGAAGTTTTTTACAAAGGAAGTGATGCAAGGAGGGAAGATATATGGAGAAAAAAAGGAAGTTAAAGGTGGGAAGCAATGAAAAAAAAGAGCAAAAAAGAGATGGGTGAGATTTATCAACAATTTTGTTGAAAAATTTAAAAAAAAGTTTTGGAGTGAGATTAAAAAATTAAAAAGCCCAGAGAAAAAATGGATTTGTCAGTTAAAATAGGAGAGGGGAGTTTTAAATGGAGAGTTAAGGTATTGGAAGATGAAGGGAAAATTTTTAGGAATTTTTTAAAAGTTTGAAGATAGGGGAAACTGTGATTTCGTGTATAGGGCAAGGAGGGAAAAAAATCTTGTAGGAGTGGGAAGAGTCAGTTGTGAGTGTGGGGAAGTTCGGGGCAGTAAATAAAATAAAGGGGGGAAGGGCAGCCGGGATTGAAAGGATAAAAGAAGAAATGTTAAAGCAGGTGGGATATAGTTTTGGGTGGTTGGTGCAATTATTTAATAAAGATGGAAGAGGGTAAGGTACCTAGGGGGTTGGCAGAGGCATGCATAGTTTTCCTTTTTTATAAAGGGAAAGGGGAAAAAGAGAGGTGAAAAAAAAGGGGGGAAAGTTTGTTTTAGGTGGGGTGGTAAGTGATGGTTTTTTGAAAGAAATTTGGTGAGGGAATGGTGAGTGGAAAAGGGGGTTTGGAAAGGTAGGGGGTGTGTGGACCTGTTTCCCGTGAAAAAAAGGAACAGTTTTAGAAAGGTAAAAGGTTTTGTGGCATTTTTGGATTTAAAAGGGGAACATGGGGGGGGGCAATGTGCAGATGTTGGGTTAGGGTGTAGGAGGGGATGAAACTAAAAGTTTTTGAATAGTAGGCTAATTGGAAGGGGGGGGGGGGGGGGATGTGGGAAGGGGAAATTTTTTAAGTAAAAAAGAGCCTAGAAAGGGGTGTTGATTTCCCCCGTGGGGGTAATTTTTTAAAATGGGGTTGGGAAAGAAGTAAATTTTGGGGGGTTTTTGGGGAAAGGGGGGTGGGTTAAAAGGGAAAAGAACGAAAAAGTTTGGGGGGTACAGGGTTTTTTAAAAAAAGTGGGGGGGAGAAAAATTTTGGAAGAGGGGAAAATTTAGAATTTGGGAGTGAATTTTGGGAAAGGTGGGGGAAGAAAAATTAAAGGTGAATTAAGGGAAAAAAAAAAGGAAAAAGGGTTTTAAAAAAAAAAAGGGTTTGGTGAGAAAGATTGAAACAGAGGGGAAGTATGAGAGGGAAGTATTCAATTTTATGGGTGTAGCGGTGGGTCATAAAGATAGGTGAATCATAAAATTGAGGGGAAAAAAAGGTGGGGGGTGCCTTGGAGTCTGGGAGAAAAAGAACTTTGCCCTTGGGGCAAAGAGGGAATGTATGAGAGTATAGTTTTACCAACGCTCTTATATGGGTGTGAACGGGGGTGATGATTTTTTCAGCGAGGAGAAGGCGGGAGGCAGGGAGTGTCATGTCGAGGGCAATGTGTGGTGTGACTATAATGCAGAGAATTCGTATTTGGAAGTTAGGGAGGAGGTGCGGGATTACCAAAACTGTTGTCCAGAGGGCTGAAGGAAGGGTTGTTGAGGTGGTTCGGACATGTTATAAGAATGGAGCGAAACCGAATGACTCAAGAGTGTATCAGTCTGTAGTGGAAGGAAGGCGGGGGTAGGGGTCGCCTAGAAGGGTTGGAGGGAGGGTGTAAAGGAGGTTTTGTGTGCGAGGGGCTTGGACTTCCAGCAGGCAATGCGTGAGCGTGTTTGATAGAGTGAAATGAATCAAATGGTTTTTAATACATGACGGCCTGTTGGAGTGTGAGAAAGTAACATTTATTAATGGATTCAGGAAACGGCAGGCCGGACTTGAGTCCTGATATGGGAAGTACAGTGCCCTGCACTCTGGAAGGAGGGGTGTTAAAGTTGCAGTTTAAAAACTGTAAGTGTAAAGAACCCTTCCTGGCAAGACATTATGGAGTGAATATGGTTGAAAGTTTTTCTTTTCGGGCCACCTGCCTGGTGGGAATCGCCAGTGTGATAATAAAAAAAAAATAAGTCGTTGCAGTGTACCTGGTAAAGTGTATGGTAAGTTTATAATGAAAGAATAAGGAGTAAGAACTGGAGAATAGGATAGCATAATAAGCAAGAGCTTTAGTAAAGGCCGTAGGGGTGTGTGAACCAGGTGTTTACATGAAACAAATAAGTGAACAGTATTTAGATAAGGCTAAAGAGGTCTTTGTGGCATTTAATGGATTTTTTGGAAAAGGCGTATGACAGTGGAATAGGGGGCAATGTGGCAGATGTTCAAGTGTATGGTGTAGGAGGTAGGTTACTGAAAGCAGTGAAGAATTTTTTACGAGGATAGTGAGGCTCAGTTAGAGTATGTAGGAAAGAGGGGAATTTTTTCCCATAAAGTAGGCCTTAGACTAGGATGTGTGATGTCACCGTGGTTTGTTTACTATATTTATAGATGGGGTTTGTAAGAGAAGTAAATGCGAGTGTCTTGGCAAAGAGGCGTGGAGTTAAAAGAATAAAGAATCACACACAATAGAGGAGTGTCACAGCTGCGTTCTTAGCTATGACACTGTGCTCTTGGAGATTTCTGAAGAGAAGTTGCAGAGATTGGTGGAAGAAATTTGTAGGGTGAGCAAAAGAAGGAAAATGAAAGGTGACTACAGGAAAGAGTAAGCTTATGAGGATAACAAAAAGATTAGTTGATGAAAGATTGAAGTATCATTTGGAGGGAGAGAGTATGGAGGAGGTGAACGTATTCAGATATTTGGGAGTGGACGTGTCAGCGGATGGGTCTATGAAAGAGAGGTGAATCATAGAGTTGATGCTGGAAAAAGAGTGAGTGGTGCACTTAGGAGTCCTGTGGAGACAAGAACTTTTGTCCTGGGAGGCAAAGAGGGGAATTTATGAGAGATAAAGTTTTACGCAATGCTCTTATTTGGGTGAGAAGCGTGGGTGATGAAAGTTGCAAGCGAGGAGAAGGCTGGAGGCAGTGAGATGTCATGTCCTGAGGGCAAATGTGTGGTGTGAATATAATGCAGAGAATTCGTAGTTTGGAGTTTAGGAGGAGGTTGCGTGATTTACCAAAACTGTTGTCCAAGGGCTGAGGAAGGGTTGTTGAGGTGGTTTCGGACATTAGAGAGAATGGAGCGAAACAGAATGACTTCAAGAGTGTATCAGTCTGTAGTGGAAGGAAGGCGGGTTAGGGGTCGGCCTAGGAAGGGTTGGAGGAGGGGGTAAAGGAGGTTTTGTGTGGCGAGGGGCTTGGACTTCCCAGCAGGCATGCTGAGCGTGTTTGATAGGAGTGAATGGAGACAAATTGTTTTTAATACTTACGTGCTGTTGGAGTGTGAGCAAAGTAACATTTATGAAGGGATTCAGGGAAACCGGCAGCCGGACTTGAGTCCTGGAGTTGGGGAAGTACAGTGCCTGCACTCTCTGAGGGAGGGGTGTTAATGTTGCAGTTTAAAAACTGTAGTGAAAGCACCCTTCTGGCAAGACAGAGATGGAAGTGAATGATGGTGAAAGTTTTATCTTTTCGGCCACCCTGCCTGGTGGGAATCGCCGGTGGTGATAAATATAATAAAAAAAAAAAATAAATATGTACCATAGAAAATGTTCTCAAGTGGTATTGAAACACTTCTGTCACCACGAAATTTTGTTACTTATGCCATCAAATATCATGGCAAGCATTTGTTAAGTAAATACAATTGGAGAATTTCACGTTTTGGAAAGAGGAATAAAACTTCCTTGTGTGGTTTTCTAGAATGATTTTTCTATTGTTGATAAGATCCAAGTGGACCAGATGGAATTTCTTTTTTTTTTTTTTACACATGGTTTTACAAGGTTAGGTTAATTTCTTAACTTTATTTACTATTTTTTTACACAGGGTTCTGCAAGGTTAGGTTAAGGTTCTTAACTTGTTTACAAACTAATAGCTTTTGTCATAAGAATAATTTGACTGAGAGCTTTGTCTGCTTTCATTTAACTGTTTTTCTTCTGCAGACTACTGAAGGTCTTCAATTTCTTCAGATTTAGGTCTTGAAAATTCATTGGTTGATGCACTGAAACTCGAGGTTATAACACGGAGAAGGCAAAGAGCAACACAGTGCTATCATATGTTTTGAAGCTACAGATTTTTTTTTTTAACATACTAGATGTCTCCCACTGAGGCAGGGTGGGAAGCTACAGATATATGTAGGATTAATAAAAAAATAGTGAAAATTCATTACCCTAGATGGTATCAGCCAGCCTGTCTAGCTCCTGGCCTTGTTAGAAATTTTTCTTGAAATTGAGGCTGTCTGCCTTTATAAACTGCATATATAAAAGTAATGTATGACCTGAATTGTCAGGTGTTTTTGTGAAATATGTTACTGATAAGCATATGCAAGTAATCAGAATTAATTCAAACATTAGGTTGCAGAAAAAAAAAAAGTTTTTTTGTGAGAGGATACCTCCAGCCGATCTTTATGTGTGGGAAAAACAAAGTAACTATGGCCGTCTGCAGAAAGCACCACTTGGCACTATCATCATTGCTCTGCAACTAGCACAGGTAAGGGTTTAATACATAAATAACCCATGCATGGGAGAATGAAACTCGTGATGACTTTTCAGTCCTACTTGCACCAGAAATGCTCTGCATAACTATGGACTTTTTGCATACACAAGGAAATGTCACCCATCTCTGTACAGATATTCTTTCATGTTGAAATAAATCTTTGTCTTTGTCTTAAAAATTAAAAATTCTTTATTTCAGTATCAAACAATGTACATAGATGGGTGACATTGAGGTGTGCATGTAGAAAGCCCATTAGTATGCAAAGCATTTCAGGCAAACTTAAGTCTATCATAAGACTAATAAAGCAATAACTAATTGATTGCTTATATATAAGTTCTGTAAGTGGTTGTAACAATAAATTTAGGAATTACTTGACCAAGTTGAACCAAAACACCGTCCTGAGTTTCATTTTCCTGTGTGTGGGTTATTTGTGTATTGTTCCAGTCACAGTATTGTGCCGTTTTTATTCTTTAAGTGTTTAAACAAGTGATTATTTAGGTACATAATTACCTATTTGCAGTTATACAGTATAGTACAATTTTTCACAGATAAATTTTAAAACTTCCATCAGTCCTGGCACATTAATTCTTTTTTTATTTTATTCCAGCCTCCTGCCCCCAATATTTTTGAAAAATATTTTCTTTTCGCTTAGTTTAAAGTTATGGCATTTTGTCCTTCATACATATTGCTAACATCAAGACAACTTCCTTATCTACCTTCTCACATTCTTTTATATGTTTATATGTATACACCCTGCCTCGGTGGGATACGGCCGGTGTGTTGAAAGAAAGAAAGATGTATACTGGAACCTCAGCTTACAAGTGCCCCACCATACGAGTTTTTCAGGATACAAGCAGTCGCTCGGTCGATTTTTTGTTTCAGGATGCGAACTTCCCCATCAAACAACTTTTTTTAGACTTCCAGATCTTACAAAAATAAAAGTGAATACACAATTGTAGTTCATTGTCGCAACCCCCAATCCTGAGGTGTCTCCTGGTGTCGCAAAATTTCAAAAAAAAAAAATTTTTTTTTCTTATGAAATGATAGAGAATCTTTTCCCGATTGTAATGGCACCAAAAAAAAACGAAATTTGATGGAAAACTGACGGAATTATGCTCTCACGAAGTTAGCGATCTCGGCAATATTTACAAATCGGCGATTTCGCCCACTTTGAGCCCTATTTTCAACTAATTCCTTTGTTCCAGTCGACCACTCATAGCTATTTCTTTAGAACTCCCATTTTTTTTCTAACGATTGAGTAAAATGAAAAGGAGTGTGGGGGGGGGGGAAGGGAAGTGGGGATTTAAATGCCCATAGTTACCATGTTTCAAACTACCCAGTAATGTTCAGAAATTTGCAATTGGCCAATTCACGAAAATTAAAAAATAAGACAATTTCAAAATAAGGTCAGAATGACAATGCAGACATTCCTGGCCTAAAAGAACAATTTTCTTTGTACATCAGTCATGTCTTCCAGTCCCCTCTGATATTACTCTTGCTTTCTATTTTGAATTTTTATTCAGAACAAAAAATAGAAGACTTTTACAATTATGCATAACCCTACGCAATACTGAAAAATTTGTATAAATAACATCAACCCATTCATGACTGCATATTAGAATGGCTAGTGGACATTTATTGACAATGACATCATTTAGTTACTTTTGAACTTGGCAAAAATCAAACATTTCCGCTACTTTGACTCCCATTCCAGGTTCTTTTTAATAGTAAAATCAATCAAAATCACCTCTATTTCTATAATAAGTTTTCCATTCTATCAATGAGACCAAGAAAATAGAATACAACCATAAATACTATACGAAAATAGACACAAAGTCGGGCATTTTAATTAAAAAAAAATGGTCGGAGTTTTTTCTTTTTCTCATTATGCACTGCGTGCCTCCAGGATTTTTTTTATGTGGTGTCATCACTGACCACACGACCCATTCTCTCCACATGTGGGCCTACCAGCTTTCTCCTGCTGATTTGAAGGCGCTAGAATTTAATGAGTATATATACGTCAAACACGGTACCTCGTAAGACGTATATATACGGCCGTGACAGTCAAAGGGTTAAGACTGTAACGCAACAGGAAAAATAGTATTTCTCACCTAAATTGTGGGTGCTGGTGTTTGTGGATGATTGTGAAGACAGTGGAGAGTTATGTTGTGGCACTACTGGCTGAGGTGGATGGTAGAGGTTCGTGGTACTGAAGTTTGATGGTTGGTACTGGAGTGTGGGCATAAATTCTGTAATGAATTGTTTTATTTTACCCTGCAGTATCATTATACAACTGACAGTAAGGCATCAGCCTGCTCTAAGACACCATTTCAGGGTCCTCTTCAGTGAAAAAAGTCTACTTTAAGTCCATTCAGTAAGTCAGTCAAGTTCATTCATCCAGTCAATTAAGATATTCAGTCAGTCAGTCATCAGTCAGTTAGTCATCAAATCTGTATGTCAGCAGTCAAGTAAGTCATTTAGTCCATTTGGTCAAGTCAGTCAGTTATTCAGTCAGTCAAGTCAGAAAGTCAGTAGAAGACAGTTCAGTCAGTCAGAAGTCATTCATCATGTCAGTCAGTAAGTCATTCAGTCAGTCAATCAGTAAGACCATTCATTCCAAAGTCAGTCAGTTAAGAATTCAGTCAGTCAAATCATTTTGGTCAGTCAGTCAGGCCCATAAGTCGTCAGTATGTCAGTCACCACTACTAGCCACATACGTAATGACATAATTCATTCTAGTGTATATGGCATGTTTTTCTATGTTATTAATATTGTTTTATGCATATTAGATGAATTGTAAGTAAGTAAGTAAGTTTATTCAGGTCTACACAAATACAGTTACATAGAATTATCATACAAAGCAGCAAATGTGGTAGAGAACCTGGATAACCCAAAAAAGTCATGAGTGACTTATTTCCATGGGGTCCTTTTACCTTATAATTATAATATAAAGGTTGAACATCAAATGGTATACAATACGGCGCAGGTTGGGTAGGTAAGACACATAGGCCAACAGTTAGGCAACTTTATTCCGAAACTTTTCCGCCTACACAGTAGGCTTCTTCAGTTCGAATACCGAAAGTAGGCAGGAACAGTAGAGATGTGAAGACGTTGTAATCATCCATCACCCTTGAAGTCGTAGAATATGAGGTTTTCAGTCCCTCAGCCTGGAAAGTTCATTCATAGTCAGGAACTATCGAAGATCAAGTGACAGTACGGAGACTTTTAAATACTGTCAGGAAGGAGAGGTTCACCTCTCTGCACCTCAGGCCTCCCTGTACCTGCCATTAGCCTGGTATGCACTAAGAGCACCAGTTTCACATTCCCATCCAGTATTTTATTCATTCATAGTTATATATGTACAGTTCACCACTGTAAAAATTATGTGTTAAGTTGCTAGCATACTCGGCTGAGAGAGTATTTGCCAGATTAGCGGACAGTGATAACTTTCCTGAAGCAAACCACAATGTGAAATTCCTTTGATGTGCTTTAGATATTTGTAAAAAATGATGCCAGTCTTTACGGTACCCCCCCTATAGGAATAGGAATTAGATAGAATTTTCCAAACTAGGAATTTCAAACTAGGAAATTTTCACACTCGGATTTCCAAACTAGGAATATCAAACCAAGAAGTTTTCAAATAGGAATTTCAAGGTAAGAAGTTTTCAAACTAAAATTTTTCAATTGGGAATTTTTTCAACTAGGAAATCAAGATCAAAATGTTACAGTAACTCTTCCTTTTTCTCATTTGTTTTTTATGCACAGTAATAGTTTTTTTAAAAATAACTTAAAAAAAAAAAAACTCTTTTTTCTTTTGTCTTCATCTTTTTTTATACGGGATAAGTCATTTTTGTAGGGTCAATAACTTTGTTCAGTTATTTTCCATTTTTTGTTTTTTTTGGCATTATGAAATAAAAATTTAATTGGATGAATATAATTCAGTAAAGTATTGTAAAAAGACTGAAGAGGGAAAAAAAAGAAAGAGGTACAAATGATAATGAGTAAACAAACAAAAAAATTAATTCGGGAGCCCCACTATAAACACCTGTTTTCGTGTTTCCCGTTTTTGTTGGCTTTAAATTGAGTGTTGTTTTTTTATTTTCAGTGTTTTTACCACTGCACCGTACAGCGGTTGTGTAAGGGGAAGACCAGTGCTATATTTAGAACTGTGTGAATGGGGCCCTCCTGTATTTAATATTTCAAAATTTAATATTTCCACAAGACCTCATACCTTCTAAGGAGGATGCTTTGATGCTGGTGAGAGGGTTCTCAATCTCATAACTTTGGGCTCCCTTCCCTTTCCTTGTATCAAACCTGATTACCAAAAATAAAACAAACCCAGTGACAAGCAGGAGTGCGGTGGGCACAATAACGGAACCCTGTAGCAACATTCGTGGCCCCAGATTATTCAACATCTTACCAGAAGATATCAGAAGTACAGCCTCTCCTCACTTAGCAACGTACTCATTTACCGATGCCTTGGACTTACAACAGGCTCTCTGACCAGTATTCATACTTAAATAATGTATATTAGAGCTAATTTCCTCTATTCTGCTTAATTCAATATAAAATACACTACTGTATTTTATATTGAAATATACAATACAGTACTGTATTGTATATTAAAAATATACCAGAAATGTTATAAATGGTACAAAGGTGACATTAAAGCAATATCAAAGATGGTTGACACAAACTCACTACCATTATAGTGTGCTCCTCACTTAGCAACGAATTTGTTTAGCGACGTGGTCTTAGGAATGGAACTCAGTCGTTAGGTGATTAGAGGCTGTACTGCTGGAACAAGTGTAGAAGTTTTCAAGAGGAAATTGGACAAGTATCTTCAGCAGGTGCCAGATCAAGCAGATTGTGATGGATATGTGGGGCAGTGGGCCATGAGCAGCAACAGCCTAGTTGACCAGGGTAGCACCAGACAAGACTCTCGAAACTCATCACATGTATGAAGGTATACCCCACTTATTCTCGGGGGATGCATTACCCCTACAGTTTGGCACTTCCCCATAAATATAAAAAATAATAATATCATAAGGACTTCTCTTCTTTTTCTTGACAGATGAAAGGGATATTAACAGCCATGTTGAACTTCAGACATGACAGTAAAGCTGACCGTCTAATATATGTGCAGGAGGCTTTGGTCAACAAATTATTTAAGCTTAATGTAAGTTTTTTGTAACTTTGATTTATAAAATGATTTGGATAATGTATAGTCAAAGTTTATTTTCACATGATCCAATGTTTATTCAGAAATGGGTGATATTTGATTGCAAGCAGAAAGCCCATGGTTATGTAGAGCATTTTAAGCAAGCTTATGCCTAACTTTAGACTACAAGGACAATAAACATTACATCATGAACACAGATTAAGTTGTAATAAGCAACTGTCAGTGAATAGCAGAAAGATGGATGGGAGAGGCACAAACTGTGTTCCTGTAAATTAACAGTCTGATGCTCTACTTCCACCACCAGGCTTACAAGAGGAAGGAGTCGGAACTAGTAATTACCATATTCCGTCAGAGTTCAGTTGGGTTACAGACGGTACCTCTGACGGAATTTAGTACTGTAAGTACTAATTTCATCTCCTTCCCCTTGTAAGCTTGGTTGTGAAGATAGTAGAGCGTCGGACTGTCAATTTACGGGCTGTGATTTGTGCCCCCCATCACTCTTTCTGTTTATTCATTGCATATCATGTATAGGGACCCCATTGTTTTCCATTTTAAACCAAAAGCTCGGACACCTAATGAAAGTTCTTGGGAGGCCTATCACTCCATGAAATCAGAGTAATTTTTGATTACAGCAATGAGGTCACGCAGATAACACAGTTTTACATGTAGAACATAGTGGGACACAGGGCAGGGCTCTGAAAAAAACCTGAAACCAGGAAGAATGAGATCTCAGAAACCAAGAAGAATGGGATCTCTAAAACTAGGAAGAATGGGATCAATGAAACCAGGAAAAATGGGATCCCTGATACTAGGAAGAATGGGATCCCTGACACCAGAAAGAATGGTATCCCTGATACTAGGAAGAATGGGATCACTGAAACCAGGAAAAATGGGATCCCTGATACTAGGAAGAATGGGATCCCTGACACCAGAAAGAATGGTATCCCTGATACTAGGAAGAATGGGATCCCTGACACCAGGAAGACTGGGATCCCTGACACCAGGAAGAATGGAACACCTGACACCAGGAAGAATGGTATTCCTGACACCAGGAAGAATGGAACACCTGACACCAGGAAGAATGGTATTCCTGACACCAGGAAGAATGGTATTCCTGACACCAGGAAGAATGGTATTCCTGACACCAGGAAGAATGGTATTCCTGACACCAGGAAGAATGGTATTCCTGACACCAGGAAGAATGGTATTCCTGACACCAGGAAGAATGGTATTCCTGACACCAGGAAGAATGGTATTCCTGACACCAGGAAGAATGGTATTCCTGACACCAGGAAGAATGGTATTCCTGACACCAGGAAGAATGGAACACCTGACACCAGGAAGAATGGTATTCCTGACACCGAGGAAGAATGGAACACCTGACACCAGGAAGAATGGTATTCCTGACACCAGGAAGAATGGTATTCCTGACACCAGGAAGAATGGAACACCTGACACCAGGAAGAATGGTATTCCTGACACCAGGAAGGATGGAACACCTGACACCAGGAAGAATGGTATTCCTGACACCAGGAAGAATGGTATTCCTGACACCAGGAAGAATGGTATTCCTGACACCAGGAAGAATGGAACACCTGACACCAGGAAGAATGGTATTCCTGACACCAGGAAGAATGGTATTCCTGACACCAGGAAGAATGGTATTCCTGACACCAGGAAGAATGGAACACCTGACACCAGGAAGAATGGTATTCCTGACACCAGGAAGAATGGAACACCTGACACCAGAAGAATGGTTATTCCTGACACCAGGAAGAATGGTATTCCTGACACCAGGAAGAATGGAAAAACCTGACACCAGGAAGAATGGTATTCCTGACACCAGGAAGAATGGTATTCCTGACACCAGGAAGAATGGTATTCCTGACACCAGGAAGAATGGAACACCTGACACCAGGAAGAATGGTATTCCTGACACCAGGAAGAATGGAACACCTGACACCAGGAAGAATGGTATTCCTGACACCAGGAAGAATGGTATTCCTGACACCAGGAAGAATGGAACACCTGACACCAGGAAGAATGGTATTCCTGACACCAGGAAGAATGGAACACCTGACACCAGGAAGAATGGTATTCCTGACACCAGGAAGAATGGTATTCCTGACACCAGGAAGAATGGAAAACCTGACACCAGGAGAATGGTATTCCTGACACCAGAAGAATGGTATTCCCTGACTTCAGGAAGAATGGAACACCTGACAACCAGGAAGAATGGTATCCTGACACCAGGAAGAATGGTATTCCTGACACCAGGAAGAATGGTATTCCTGACACCAGGAAGAATGGTATCCCTGAACATGTGTCATAAACACCAAGTGAGTCATTTGTTCAAGCACATGCAGTTACCTCTGTTTCTATGCAAGTTTCAGGAAAATGAGCTTTTAGCAATTTTCAGCAGTATAATACCTGGTAATAATAATAATAATAATAATCTTTATTTCTACAAGTACATGTACAATGTATACAAGGCTAGCTGACATCAGTGACATACTGCTATATAGAAAGCACTTTGTTATTCAGAGCATTTTGGGCAAATTAAGTCAGTTTTGTTCCCCGGATGTGACCCACACCAGTCAACTAACACCCAGGTACCTATTTTACTGATAGGTTAACATGGACAGCAGGTATCTTAAGGAAACACATCCTGATGTTTCCAATACTTTCTCAATTAAATCTTTTAATTAATTCTTCATTATACAGGTTGCTGGAGAGAGAGCCTCTAACCTCAAATTGGCTGACAGGTTAATGGAAGGTAGACAAGTGATTGATTGGCTTCCGCTCCTGTCACTCGAGAGAGATGCGCAAGAATTATATTTTTCCCTTGACAGCAGTATCAGAAGATATGTGGCCATCTCTCTTTTCATCGGTGTAGCATTCCACCATTGTGCTCTGCAACATAATCAAGATGCTATCAGAGCTTTAAAGTAGATAATGAACCCCTTGCTACTATTTAATTGTCAGTAGACAGCTGAAGGAATGATGGTGAATGTGTTTTCTTCTTTGGGTCACCCTGCCTTGGCAGGAGACAGCCATTGAGTTTAAAAAATTATAATCATACAATATTGTAGATGTGTACAATATTGTAGATGTGTAATTGTAAAGTAAAAGGACACAAGTGAAACTAATGTGACATTTTATTGTGGCAACGTTTTGCTCTCCAGGAGCTTATCAAGCCATTGATAAATGGCTTGATAAAGCTCCTGGAGAGTGAAACGTTGCCACAATAAAATGTCACATTAGTTGCACTTGTGTCCTTTTACTTTACATATTGTCGGTAATTCTACCAACTTTATTACAAGATGTGTAATTCATGCTATGTTAATTATTAATAATATTTCAATTTCTCAGCATTCAGATTAAGGTGGAATTGTTAAAATACTGAAACAACTTGTTAAGATACCAGCCATTACCAGAAAGTGACTCACAAAATTGTAATAACACGATGGCAAACAAGCCACGGAACAGGTTGGAATTTGAACCCATGGCGAGTGAGTCCTAAAATTCCAGGCCAGTGCATAAGCCACTCAGCCAGTTGGCTTAATAAGATTCATCCAGTTAGGTATATTTCTATACCTCATAAAGAGGATTCAATTGCCTTGGGTTCAAACCCTTTCTGTTCCATGGTTTGATTACCAGAGAGTAAACAGGTTATCATTAAATACGGAGAAAATTAATTAAAGCTTCCAAAACACTGAAAGAAATATCTTAAAAGTAGCAAAACAATTTTGACATGTAGGGAAGATAAAATACAAACAGAGTTCAGGCTAATAAATGATGAAAAACAATAGGAAATAATAGAGAGGTCAAATAAGGTTACACATTTTCCAGTAGTGATGTACATACAGTCTTTTCTATTTGTGAGCTATTAAATTTTTTCAAGTTCATATACATCAGAGTTTTTGAAAATCTACAAAGGCTTGGAGCATACAATGAGTTTTTATGTGACTGGGGTCATGACAGAAAAACAAGGACAATTAATGACAAATACCTTGTTAGAGCATAAGTAAATTTATGCATATTTTTAATAGATGTTTCAATATGTTTAGTCAACAGTTTACTGGAATATTATATTGTTTTCAACTACTTTACTGAATTAATTAATAATGAACCACTAACAGAAATAATAATAATAGATTTATTTCTTTTGTGAAGCACACAGATAATGTAGTACAGTAGTCCCCCCCCCACATACCCACGGGGGATACATTCCAAGGACCTGCCCTGGATACTGAAACTGTGGATAGTAGCAGACCTTATATATAAGTCCTGTACACACCTATTACAACTGCAACATATCTCCACCCTTCCTTTGTGTAAATAATGTTTGAAAAAAGATAGTCGTGAGAATTTATTTTGTGGCATACATGCTTTTGTTCATGGTGACTATGCTCAGTATTGTCATCTCTGTTGTGTATAAACAATTTAAAACTAATAAAATTCTTTCAACTTTGTTGTTGTGTATGAATCTCTCCTTGTAGCCTTCAAGGCAATGCCTTGATGCCAGTGAAGTTCTTGATCTAAGGAATGTGAGCTATCCTCCATAATTTTTTCATTATTGTCAATGGAATGCCTTCCCCCTAAGTAAAAGAATGGAAAAATAAATAATAACTAAGATAATTTTCTAAGGATTTTAATGAAAATTAAGTAAAATAAAATTGACCGCTGTGGTTCCAGTGTGATGTTGAGACAGGAGTATCTTATGTCCAGGATGGTCTTCTGTGATGTTTTAGAAGAAATGGTGTTGGTTATCCTGGTAGCAGTTTTTTGTCTGATGTTCTGGAAATCCTGTCAATACTTGGTCGCAGTACTGCATTTCGGATTTCAGAGATGATGAGTCGTTATGTCCCAAAATGTCCTGTGACAGGGATCTTGCTCCAAATACTAGCATCTACCCTGGTTGACCAGGCCAGTAGCAGAGCTGGTCAGGAGAAGAATAAAAGTGAAGTGATTCTCCAAACTTCAACCCACACTAGGTTTAAGGTTAATGCTACCAGGAATAAAATTAAAGCAAATCAAACCTGAGGAACTGAAGTTTAGCCTCAGCTCGCTAGGTGGTAGTGCGGCAGTAACACGCTAATGGTTCCTGGCTGTCTTAACAATCATAACTCCCACTTAGTAAGGGCTTTTCCCTTCACAATTATACAGTACCTACCATTTCCCCAGGGAAAATAGTATGACCCCTACAGGTTTAAAAGCTTCCTCATGTTAATAATAATCATCTAGTCTTGCACATTTGCTTTTACGTCACTTCCTTTACCATTTTATTTTAGTAATTAGTATTAATTGCTGATTGGAAAAGCATTGAAAGAACATTACACTACAATGTATTGATAACTGAGACCAATTCTGCAGCAGAAATTATCCTGCAGGGACGTGTCCTCTTTTTCAGAGTGTATGCAGGATCCACTTCACAAGTTTTTAAGCCCTCCGACACTCTCTTACTGATTACCTCACTGAAAGCCCTACCTTTTGACACAGACACTCCCTTTTGGCTTTTTAATTAAGGCTAACCTATTACATTAACTTTGATTTCAAAACTGATTTCATTTTCACCTGGATTAACACCCACTCCCACTAACCTCCTTAACTTTGCTCTCCCCTCTCACTCACTCTTGTACCTTTCGTATTTTACATTAACATAATCCTCCCTACAGCGCTGTAGGATTCTTTATGGGTTAAAAGCGCTTGATTTGATTATAATAAATCCTCGAAGGGAGGCTCCTTGATGCCAGTGAGGAGCTCTTCATCCAAGGAATTGGACCTGATCAGCTCTTTGGATCACACCTGATTGCATCCCATTTGTCTAGATGCCCACTCAAGGGAGATTCCTTGATGCTGGTGAGGGCTCTTGATCTAGAGAATTGGATCTGTGCTCCAGTTCCCTGAACTGAGCTTGAATGCCTTCTATTTATCCCTCCCAGGTGCTGAATAATCCCTACAGGTTTAGCGCTCCCCCATTCCATAAACTGTAATCTTGTCTAGTGCATAAATAACAAAAGAAGGCACAATAAACCCTGACTGGAACGATACACAAATAACCCGCACATAAAAGAGAGAAGCTTACGACGACGTTTGGGTCCGACTTTGTCAATGGTCCAAGTCGGACCGAAACGTCGTCGTAAGCTTCTCTCTTTTATGTGGGGGTTATTTGTGTATTGTCTAGGTGCCATGTGTCCTCTACAGGTTTAGCATGGGGGACAGCAGACCTGTGGAGCATGGTGCACAGACGTGTGCAGTATGGACCAGCAGACCTGTGTAGCATGTACCAGCAGACCTGGTAGCATGGTCCAGCAGACCTACGTAGCATGGGTCCAGCAGACCTGTGTAGCATGCTCCAGCAGACCTGTGTAGCATGTTCCAGCAGACCTGTGTAGCATGTTCCAGCAGCCCTGTGTAGCATCTCCAGCAGACCTGTGTACATGCTCCCAGACCTGTGTAGCATGCTCCACAGACCTGTGTAGCATGCTCCAGCAGATGTGGGGCAGTATGGACCAGCAGACCTGTGTAGCATGTACCAGCAGACCTGTGTAGCATGGTCAGAAGACCTGTGTAGCATGGTCCAGCAGACCTGTGTACATGGTCCAGCAGACCTGTGTAGCATGGTCCAGCAGACCTGTGTAGCATGGACCTGCAGACCTGTGTAGCATGAACCAGTAGACATGGGGCAGCATGGACCAGAACCTGTGTAGCAGGGGCCAGCAGACCTGTGATCCCTAGACCAGCAGACCTACTGTCAGCCATAAATTTAAATTTATGACCTACTCTCATTAGCAGGCCCCGCCCACATGTGTCCCTGTATAACACTGCTGCATCACACACTCTTCCACTGGCTCTCTCTATATTCTGTATATTCTCCAGGTTTGGCAATTTCGCCTGCTTTGAAAGGGGCCGTTAGTGTACACAGTACTTCAGATGTGATGAAAAGGTTTTGAAAACTGACAAGTTGAAGAAATGGACTTTTTGCGACATATGGGAAATCTTTATTGAAGATTAAGATTCAGTAAAGATTCCTGTATGTTGCATAAGTGTTTCAATTCTTCAGCAATACTAGAGTCTAGAGAGAACAAGTGATTTGAAGAGAATCATCATTGGGTTGGCATCCTTAGTTTTGAAGGTTCTCATTATCTATCCCTTATTTTGAAGAGTCTTGTTATCCATCCCTAAGTTTTTAAGGTTCTCATTGTTTATCTCTAGCTTTGAAGGTTCTCATTAACCATCTCTAGTTTTAAAGATTTTAATTATCCATCAGTGGTTTTAAAGGTTCTCGTTATCCATCTCTAGTTTTGAAGGTTCTCATTATCCATCTCTAGTTTTGAAGGTTCTTGTTTATCCATCCCTTGTTTTGAAGGTTCTCATTATCCATCCTATCATTTTCCCTATTAGGAGGAGGAAGGAGAAGAGAATATGGGAGAAGGAGGGAGAAGAGAAGGAGGGAGGATAGAGAGAGAGAGAGAGAGAGAGAGGAGAGAGAGAGAGAGAAGAGAGAGAGGGTGGACCACACCTCTGCATACTTCCATGTAATGATTTTTGTAGTGTACAAGTCAGCTAGGCTGTGCCATGTACACTCTTGTATGCTGGCATGCACGCTGGGGGGTAGGGGTAGGGGGTGTCATGCAGGGGGGTCCATGATCGATGATTACCTCCCCTCCCCAGATACAACACCCCCAGGTAATTAAAAAAACCTTACCCCCCCCTGAGTAAGGGATGAGGCAGAGCTGGTGTGTGTGTGTGTGTGTGTGTACTTACCTGTTTGTGGTTGCAGGGGTCGATTTACTGCTCCCTGCCCCGCCTCTTCACTGATCACTACTAGGTCCACTCTCTTCATGCTCCATGAGCTTTATCATACCTCTTCTTAAAACTATGTATGGATCCTGCCTCCACTACATCAATTCCCAGACTATTTCACTTCCTGACAACTCTGTGACTGAAGAAATACTTCCTAGCATCCTTGTGATTCATCTGAGTCTTCAACTTCCAACTGTGACCCCTTGCTGCTGTGTTCCATCTCTAGAACATCATGTCTCTGTCCACCTTGTCGATTTCTCTCAGTATTTTATATGTCATTATCATATCCCCCCTATCTCTCCTGTCTTCCAGGGTCGTCAGGTCGATTTCCCTTGACCTCTCCTCGTAGGACATACCCTTAGCTCCGGGACTAGTCTTGTTGCAAACCTTTGCACGTTGTCTAGTTTTCCTTACGTGCTTGGCTAGGTGTGGGTTCCAAACTGGTGCCGCATACTTTAATATGGGCCTAACGTAGACCGTGTACAGGGTCCTGAACGATTCCTTATTAAGATGTCGGAATGCTGTTCTGAGGTTTGCTAGGCGCCCATATGCTGCAGCAGTTATTTGGTTGATGTGCGCTTCAGGAGATGTGCCTGGTGTTATACTCACCCCAAGATCTTTTTCCTTGAGTGAGGTTTGTAGTCTCTGGCGTCCCCCTAGACTGTACTCTGTTTGCGGTCTTCTTTGCCCTTTCCCAATCTTCATTACTTTGCACTTGGTGAGACTGAACTTCAGGAGCCAGTTGCTGGACCAGGTCTGCAGCCTGTCCAGATCCCTGTGTACTTCTGCCTGGTCTTCGATTGATTGAATTTTTCTCATCAACTTCACATCATCTGCAAACAGTGACACCTCAGAGTCTATTCTTTCCGTCATGTCGTTCACAAATACCAGAAACAGCACTGGTCCTAGGACTGACCCCTGTGGAACCCCGCTCGTTACAGGCGCCCACTCTGACACCTCGCCTCGTACCATGACTCGCTGCTGTCTTCCTGACAGGTATTCCCTGATCCATTGTAGTGCCTCCCATGTTATCCCTGCCTGGTACTCCAACTTTTGCATTAATCTCTTGTGTGGAACTGTGTCAAACGCCTTCTTACAGTCCAAGAACATGCAATATACCCACCCCTCTCTCTCTTGTCTTACTGCCTTCACCCTGTCATAGAGCTCCAGTAGGTTTGTGACAGGATTTTCCGTCCCTGAAACCGTGCTGGCTGTCGTTAATAAGTTCATTCCTTTCTAGGTGCTCCACCACTCTTCTCCATGTGTGCGTGTGTGTGTGGTGTGTGTGTGTGTGTATGAATATGTGCCTGTGTGTATGCGTGCGTGTGAGTAATCATGCGCACATGCAGCAGTGTACACTAATGCACATACCTGCATGACACTCTCTGGGACAATGTTTCACATCCTTGAAAGCAATATGTCGTTGCAACATGACGGAGAAATTCTTGCACGCAGATATATTTTCCTGGGCGGGAAGTGGCTACTTCCAACAGTCAAGTCTGCCACAGTAGACGTTGATCTAACAAGGATACACACACACACACACACACACACACACACACACACACCACAACACACACACACCACACACACACACACACACCACACATCACAACACACACACCACACACACATATATATATATATATTATATATATATATATT